GCCAGGCGCCACGTCCTGCCTGAGCTGACACGGCTGATGCGGGAGCTGAGGATGACGCCCCCAAAGCAGACGGACAGCTCGTTGCACATGGCGATGCTGTGGGCGCCGCTCCTGCACGCCGAAGACGTGCTATCGATCTTGGAAGAAACGGAGTTCTTCGACAAATGGGAGAGCGCGCTGCGCCACTGGCTGCAATCCGCGAAGCCGTCGTACGGGGAGGCCGTCGCATGGTGCACCGGCTGGAAGAAGCTCTTCACCCCGGAGCTGCTCGCCGACGAGCACGTGCTCGCGCGTCTGGACGCCGGCGCTGCCATGGTGGATCAAGAAACGCAAGACCTCGACAGCCTTCTTGGGTATAGTTGGTAGTCTACGTTCCACACACAGATTGCTTGTAAGGTGGTATAGCCACTCACGATTAGTAATGTAATGGTGATCATGCATCTATAATACCATCTTTACTGTAACTGTGTGACTTCTCGTGGTAGAATAATTGTTTCCTCTCAACTCAAGTTATGTTTTTGAGCAGAGGTTCCCTCAGTTACTAAACAGGAGGGGAAATCATGGAGACCGGCTGCAAACAGTCCGTACTTATAGGATTTATTGTCCAAGAAATGTTGGTGAACGTCCATGCTGATCTGAAATAACAGGCCAAGAAACATAGTACTACTCTCTCGGATCGAAAATAAGTGTCATTTTTTTAGTTCAAATAAGGGAGTACTAGATTTTCATAGGTTTTTTTTTTTTGTTTGCGAAAATGATTCCAATCTATTATCAAAGTTCATCACAAATACAAAACACCTTAAATATAATAAAAATTACATGGGAGATTCCGAAATTTTCATAGATGTTGTTATAGTTGGTCATCTTTGTTTTGTTGAAAGGCAAAAGTATCCCTCAGACTGTTGACATATTCCATCCTCCGCATGGTAAACGCAAAAATTTAGAGTTCACATGTTCCTACGTTGTCTATTGTACATGTATAAGACTAGGGTCTTATATTTATATCATTGTATGTTCTCTCTTCCTTTTGCATATTTGTATATATTGGGACATAAGTAGAAGCCGGTCCATCCTATACCTATATATGTACATCATGCACACGATCAATGAATTATTGATGCATGCAATCCTTTCTTTTCAATTAAGGTGGTATCAGTTTAGCACGCTGATTCCTTTCCTCGCTTCCGCCTTTCCCTGCCGCCGCCACCCCTACAGCCGCCGCCGCCGCCGCTGTCCTCCTATTCTTCCGCAGCCGCCGCACCTCTCCCTTGCCGCCGCTGCCTCCCACCCCTCTTCTGTAGCCGCCACCACCAACACTAGCTGCCGCTCCCACAAACCCTAACCCGAGCCGCCGCTACACCAAACCCTACCCGTGCGACCGCACCATGGACTCCCCCCACTCCACCTTCTTCGGTAACTCCAGTCCCTTCGTCGGACCCGAGCCCTCCGCCGCCGACGTCCATAACCTCGACATCCCCACCCGCGTCCCCATCAAACTGGATCAATCCAACTCTTCGTACTACGCGTGGAAGACCTACTTCAACCTTGTCTTCTGCGAGAGTACTACCTCCTCGAGCACATCGACGGCTCCGTCGGCAGTGCCGTCATGGCAGGCGACCCGGAGTAGTCTGCTATTGAGGCCACCCTCATCCGCTGGTTCTACCTCACCGTCTCGGCAGACATCTTCCACACGGTCGTCTCCGAGGATGATGATGCTTGTGTCGTGTGGACCAAGATCAACGCCCTCTTCACCGACAACAAGCTCCAACGCCTCGTCTTTTTGTAGCAAGAATTTTTTGGCCCCCTTAAAGCTCCAGGTCCTGATGGTTTTCCTATAAGATTTTTTTTCAGCGGAATTGGTGACTGCTCAAAGAGGATATTATTCATGCAGTTAAACAGTTTTTCATCATGGGTATAATGCCGGATGGGGTAAATGATACAGTTATGCTCCTATAGCCCTTGAATGTATGCATTTTTTTAGCATGCTTAAGGACAGTCCGGGAAAATTTGTGCTTATAAATTGGATTTAGCCAAAGCGTATGACCAGGTGGATTGTCACTTTCTGAAAAGAATGATGGGTGCTTTGGGCTTTGATATAGTTTGGATAAAATGGATTATGGCATGTGTCACATCTGTCAAAGTTTCTGTGTGCTTTAATGGTCAACTTTTGGAGTCGTTCTCCCCTTTATGTTTGTACCTATTCTTGCTGGTGGCGGAGGCTCTTTCTTTGTTGCTTCGGGATACATGTGCTAGAGGAGCTCTCCAAGATTTCAAGGTGAATAGGCATGCTCTGGGTATATCTCATCTTTTATTTGCCGATGATTTCCTTATGTTTTCAAGGGGTCCATTGATCAGGCGTTGATGATTAGAAATATTCTTTCAACTTTCAAGAAGGGGACTGGGCAATTATTGAGTACAGATAAATGCTATATTATGTTCGGGAAGAAGTGTAGCATGGAAAATCAAGTGTCTACCATGGTAATCTTGAATATTACTGCTGAAGGTTTTGAGGATAAATTTCTTGGGCTTTCGGTGTCTAAAGGTAGAATGAGACGGGTAAATTTCAATCTACTAAAGAAAAAGCTCTCAAAATTTTATCATATTGGATTTAAGAATATGTCTCTAGTGGGGCAAAGGAAACTTTGATCAAATAAGTTCTTCAAACTCTTCTAATTTATGCCATGGGTATCTTCAAGTTCCCGACATCGCTTTGCAAGGAGCTATCCCAGATTATAAGGAATTTTTGATGGGGTGACGAGGATGATAGGAGGAAAACCCACCAGTTGGCTTGGGACAAATTGACTAGGCCTAAAGGTGAGGGAGGTATGGGTTTCCGCGATCTCAGATGATTTAACCAAGCTCTTCTCACTAAGCAGGCTTGGAGATTGGTGGTTAACCCTGAGTCCTTATGCGCAAAGATGATGAAGGGTCATTATGCGCAAAGATGATGAAGGCGAAATATTATCCCCAGGGGTATATCCTTGACACTGGTTTTCCACAATCGGCTTCGCTCCCTTGACAAGGTATTCTGCATGGTTTGGACCTGTTTTCCCACAATCGGCTTCGCTCCCTTGGCAAGGTATTCTGCATGGTTTGGACCTACTGAAATCTGGTGTTATTTGGAGAGTATGTAATGGGGTCTAATATTAATATTTGAAGAGATAATTGGCTACCAAGAATCACTGGCCTTAAAGTTACTGCAAAGAATAACAGGACCATCACCAAATGGGTGTCTCACTTGATTTTGAGGGAACCGAGGAGATGGCATGAGAGTTTGGTTAGGCACTTATTTTATCCACATGATGCAGGGGAGATATTAAGTTTACGTCTTCAGTGATCAGGAGAAGGTGATTTTATAGCTTGGCACTTTGAGAAGAATGATTTATGCTCGGTTAAAATCGCATATATGCTTGTGCTTAATCTAAAGAGACATAAAGAAGACGAAGGGCAATATAATGGCACTGTGTTGGGGAAGACGAAGGTTTGGGATATTATTTGGAATCCGGATTTTTGTGTGGCGTGTCGCTACGAATAGTTTGGACGTCTAGGTAAACAGAGTTTTGCACCACCAAGCACTCTCAGTACATGCTTTATTTGTGGAGTGGAAGATGAAAGTACGTTTCATGCACTAGTCAGGTGCCCTAAGGCATATGCGTTGCGTATGGCCATTAGGGACATATGAGATCTACCTGGGGAAGAGGTTTTCAAGCATTCGGGGTCTGATTGGTTTCTTATTCTTTTGGACCAATTGAGTGTTACTCTGCTTGACCAAATTATATTCATTTTCTGAGAGCCAGACATTTGAGAAATGACTTCATATTTGGTACGGTGAAGGAACTTGTCTCGGCCTCTGCTAATTTTGTGGAGAGTTATTGGTCGTCATTTGTCGCAAATTCACTCCTGTCCAGAGGTGGACTCGAAAAATAAAGGTAAAGGTTCGTTGTCTGGATTAAAACTTGGTCCTAATCCTTTGGAAACTCAGGTATTATGGCAATTCCCTCCTTCTGATTATATTAAGATCAATGTTGATGCAAGCTTTGTGGAGAGCATTAGCGCTGCAAGTGTGGGCATGGTGGCCAGTGACTCTTCGGGGAAGGTCCTGGGCTTTGTAAAAGCGTGGAGGAGGCGGAACTCCGAGCATGTCTTGCTAGTCTATATATAGATATCACTTTTCACAATCCTATAATTTTGAAGATTTGACTATACTTTTGTGGTTGCGTCCCTTGCAAATGAAATAGCTGACAGGTCCTCACTGGCCGATTTGAAAAAGGAATCGAGGAGTTTATCAAAGCTTATAAATAAGTTTAAATATGCTAATGTTGTGGCCCATACGATTGCGAAGTTTAGCTTCAATAATACTTTTTCCGGTCCTTTTTACTCTGCATATTAGAATTCTCTGAAGTCAAACTTCATAAAGTTTGACCGTATTTATATAAAAAAATATCAACATCTACCATGTTAAAGTTATACAATATGAAACTTTAAGTCATGACACATCTATTGATATTGATTTCAGATTGTGAATGTTGATATTTTTTTCTATAAAGTTGGTCAAACTTTACGAGGCTTGACTTCAGTCAAATCTTATATGCGAACTAAAAAGGACCGGAGGGAGTAGATGGGATGGTATTCTTGTTAATGATGCTCCGCCCTATGTGGTCAATTTTATAATGAATGATCGTAATAACATTTTAATTCATTGACATTTTAATTAATTAACATTTTTAAATCTCTCTTAAAAAACACTTTGTCGCAAAAGAAAAACAAATGACAAGCTTTGGCGTACACATCAGCTTTGGTGCACGCAGTTCGAGACCCCACTCATCAGTGCCACGAACCCTCGAGATCCCAACGGTCGAGTGCCCGCCTAGACACCGCAACGGTTACTTCCACCGATCTGCTCCATTTCCCACCCCTTTCCCTCCCTTCCTCCGATCACCACGCTCTCCATTCCCTCTGCTCCCTCTCAATTCCAAGCACTTGTCCAGCCTTAAGCCAAGATGAACAGCGCAGCAGAGACAGACGCCGGCGGCGACAACGGCAACCCGGGCGCCGCGGTGCTGGTGGTGGAGCGCGTGGTGACGGTGGAGTACCTGGAGCAGTCCATGTCGCGGGGCCTCCTCGGCAAGTTCCCCGACTCCTCCGCCTACGACTTCGACTACTGCCAGAGCGGCATCTGGTCCCCGGTCAACAAGATCCCCAGCGAGTCGCCGGCCTCCGGCTCCAGAGACTTCCTCATCGCCAAGCTGAAGCGCCGGGCGCGGGCCGGGAGCAGGCTCAAGGACGCTGCCGTCGGAGGCGGCAGCAGGTCGAGGTGGCGGCGCCGGCGGCTGCGGCGGGACGGCTCTTTCCTCGACCTCCACGACACCGGCAGGGCGAAGCTGGACTTATCGCCGCCGCTGCCGTCGCCTGCCCCCACCAAGGTAGTTCCCTGCACATGAACCCCTCCAAGCTTAAGCTAGCTCCCCGAATCGGCCTTGGGTTACGAGGTTTCTGTTGGCTTGGGTTGTTCAGGAGGGGTGGAGGAGGGTGCTCACGGCGGCCATCAGGAAGTTCAAGGCGCGCCACCGCCGCTCCCGGCCGGCTCCCCTGCTCCAGATGATGCTGCCAATGCTCTGAAGTCTGAATCCGCCGACCGATCGATCGATCGCGCCCGCGACTTCTTGTTCTTCTCTTTGATTATTGGTGAGTTCGAGCGTGTTGTACAACAGATTAGATGGTCAGATCGATGGTTTGTAAGTTGCCTGTCATGTACTGTAACTATCACCAGTTAAGTTTCTCCATTCAGTTTACGTCCTACTTTTCCGTCAGTTTGTTTCGGTTTGCAACCCATCTGACACGGTTCCTGATGGAATCGTAACGAACCTGAACTCTGACACGAAATCCACCCTGCAATTCCGTTATAATCTCCCTGTGGGAATCGCAACAAAAACAAACGCGCCGGATCAACAACACCCGACAAAATCGACTTTCAAGTTCGGCCCGAACCCAAGAGTCCCGGAGCTCTGAAGATGGCTTCCAAGATCGCCGCCACGGCGGCGAAGGTGCCAGCGAAGGCGAAGGGGCAGTGCATCTGCTCGCCCACCGACCATCCTGGCTCCTTCCGGTGCCGCCTCCACCGCGCCAGCGGTATGCAGGTCGGTCTCGTGCCAGCAGTTCGGCGACCCCCACACGGCGAGCTCCCCGCTGCTCTGCTCCGGCCACATGCCGAGGTCGGCATCGCAGCAGCAGTTCACGACTCCTTCCGGCTCCGGCATTTTGAGATCGGCGTCCCAGCAGCAGCTCCCGCGCACCGCAGGTGTGCCAAGATCGGCATCGTGGCAAGATTTTGCTCAGAAGAACTGATCAAACCTCCTGAACCAGGCTGTTCTTTTTTCATAGCTTAAGTTCAGAAACTACCTATGTAACTTTTTTTTAGAATTTTTTCCCTTGTTTGAAGCGCTAGATAGTTGCAACTAGAGCTGCAATCTTAGGGCGATATAATTTTAGAGACAATAATGTTCAAAAAAATTTAGAGACAATGGGATAAACTAATGCGGAGATACACAAAAAATTCTCATAAAAAGAACCTGAACAGCAGGATGGTTCTTTTCTTTGCAGCTAACAGTGGTGATTCCCGACAGAAATAGCTACAAGCTCTCATCAAATACTCCACTACTGGAAAACTAGTGCTAGGAAGACTACATCTCATCTATCTCACCCTCTCCACCAAGACACTTAGCAATAGCAGCTGCCCCTGACAGTGTACTGCAGAGTTATCAAGACACATCCACCATGCGCTCTTGCAAAGGAATGAAGCTGTGATCCTTTTTCTGAAGAAGATAAAAGGCCAGAATTAGTACTCAGAACCTCTGGATTATTAGACTAAACGGCACATGCTCTCCTGTTTCAGAAAAAGGCGGATGTGGATTGTGGAGAATAGCTTAATGCGGAAGTTCTACACGAAGTAACTAAGCGTCTATCTATAATTGATGCCTAGTGAGGTTGTCATCTGTCTTTACTTAAGAACGGTTACTCAAGAAATTACACATTTACAAAATGGATAGTGTCGATAGATAGCATCACCCCTGGATAGTATCATTTACTCCTCAATTTGTAATAGTGTATTTGTACAAGAACATGAGTTAGTTAATTGATAACCTAGCCGTGTTGTATAATATGTTGAAAAAACATGAGTGAATTCCAGTTTTTACCCCTAAGTTTAACATTCTTGATGCTAATTACCCCATTTAAGAGAATTTCATCCATTATACCCTATTTAACATAAGTGTTGCCACAAATTACCCTTTTCTATTTTTTGTGAGTGTTCTGATTGGTGGGCCCCGATTACCAGGTCCACATGGCGTGCCACATCGTCGGTTTTTTCCTTGGCGATTTTTCTACAGGCTGAACCGATTCACTTAAATGGGGTAATTTGTGGCAACACTTTTGTTAAATGGGGTATAATGGATGAAATTCTCTTAAATGGGGCAATTAGCGTCAAGGATGTTAAACTTAGGGGTAAAAACTGGAATTCACTCAAAAACATTAACAAAAACTACTGGGGGATATTTCAACCATGAAACTATGAACACTTCACACTTGCCTGATCAATCATCATCATTTCACTTTTTGGACTCCACCAGTATGTAAACTGGCTTTCCATCGAGCTTGTAGAAATCCTGCAGAATATATGAAGTTAATAAATTTGAAAAGGCAGCTGGGTCACGCCTCTCTTGGAAATATGTGCTTTCCATGTATTAAATACATTTGCTAGATTTAAAATGAAGCTATACAATATATTTACGTAGTCAGTTTATTAAAAAAGTTTGAATAATGTGTATATTCTTGATGCGATGATATGAAAAGCTACCATTGTTGGGGGGTATGTAGTGTTTCTACTAGTGGAATATTTTACAAACACAAGTTTTCACTTTTGCTCACAATCCCTGATATGTTCAATTTACAGCAAGTATGTTCAACCTATAAGCCTAAGTTGATGTGTCCATGTAAGTAAAATAGAGATGTCCTGCAGTGTGCAAATTAGGATTCTTCTAGATAATGTACTCCCTCCGTTCCTAAATACAAGTCTTTTTAGAGATTCTAATATGGGCTACATACCAAGCAAGATGAGTGAATCTACACTCTAACGTATGTCTATATACATCCGTATGTAGTCCAAACATGCAACACTTGTAGTAGTAACTTTGTTCGTTGCTTATTTTGTTCATTGTTTTCTCATTTATATCTGTCCTATTCACATAATGCAACACTCGTAGTAGTAACTTTTTAGCTATAGAGTTGTTTCACCTTAGCCCTTGCGTACCTTAAACTTAGGGAGTCCGATGAGGCATGCACACTCAACAACGTCAGCTGCAGCGCGTTCTGGAATGCAAATAATTGCATCAATCATGGAAATATTAGTCAAAAGACATTCTCATGTTGTTAGCTCATGATATATTCATATGATTGAGCGAGACATGTAATTAGAACTCCTCGTCTCTCTGTGGCGTGGATGCTTCATACTTATCTACAAAGTTTCCTCTTGGTAGCATGGAAAGATTGAAATTATGCGTCCAGTCGCATCAAGCCACACCTTTATGCAATTAGCTAGTAGCTACCCCCCATATATAGGGCTTATCTTTCAAACAGGAATTTGTCACGCTCACGGGAAAACTTTGCTTCTTGTCAAGAAAACATGATGGTCCTCTACTCTACATGTTGTCACTTATCACTAAGTTGTTGAGATGCTTAAGTGGCTACATTGCATGATACTCAATGTGTCTTTTTTGGCAAGGCTATGAGAGATTATTCCATATCAGCATCACACATCCTTTGACTTACTTATCCCTCTTCGATTTATTTACTGGACTAGTGCTAGAGTCCTAGTGTAGCAGAAGCTCCAAATTGAGCCTTGTATTAAAGGATTATTCACATTTCATGTAGTGAGAACAAGAGGGAGGGGCTCACCAAGAAGTTTTATGGCTGCAGAAAGTGTCCCGCCGGTTGCAACCAGATCATCCACGACCACCACACGGTCGCCGGGCTCGACGGCTCCAACATGCATCTCCAAGCAATCCGTCCCATACTCGAGCGTATAATTCTCGGAAATCACCGCACCTTGATTAATTGTTTGTATAGCAAAATTAGCACAGTTTGGAAACTACTAGTAGTAACGATTTGTTTGTTTCCTTAATATGGTAACAACATTTGATGAAGCTATTCTGAATGAATGAAACTTTTCAGAAATCGACATGGTTAATGTGCTCAGAGATTCAGTATGCATTGGTACTCCTCGCAGCACATCATTTGATACCAACACCTATGGATTTATATTACCTGGGAGTTTGCCGGGTTTGCGCAGCGGTATGAATTTGGCCCCGATGGCCAACGCGATCGCGGGGCCAAATATGAATCCTCTTGCTTCAATGCCTAGTAGCAGCAACATGAAATATAGTGAGACGTACAGGTCAGGGAAGCATACAGAATTACAGATACTGCAGGGATAACCACGAAATACATGCAGCCGGCGGCCATCATTCATTGTTCGCCGTATATACAGCATGGCTAGGGTACGTGTACGTAATCACGTCACGGTGGCATTAGGTGCTGACATAAGCCAGGCGCAGCAAACAGCGGAGTTAACCAGATCGCTGTGCTCTTGTACCAGCAGGGGTACCGAGCCACGCCAGCAAGCGTACGCGCGAACGCGAGGACCGGCGGGACGACACCGCATGTGCGCGATCGACCTCGGCCGTCCGATGAGGTGACCACGGTCCCCGCGCGATCTCCCCCCAATCGCCCGCCGGCTACATGCACGCCCCCTGTGACCCGGGCATTCAACGCGTACAGGTACAGGCGATGCCGCTGGCCCGGCCCGGTCACCGCGGGCCGTACAAGTGGCGCGCCGGGCCGGTGGCGCGGTGGTGATGACCTGATCGCCGGCAGAGCGGCGCGGGGGAGACAAAGAGAGCCCGAAGACGCCGCTAGTAGCAGCAGGCCGGCGCCCGGCGGCGGTATATTCCACAGCACCGGCGCACCGGGCCAACGGCGCGCTCTCAGCGGCATTAAAGAAAGACGCACGGGCCGGCACCAGAGCGCACGCGCGTGCGTGGACGGCACATGGCTCCTGCCTGCACTGCATGATTGACTAGAGAGCGGATAAGGGTGGAGTAATTTCTTTACCTGCGACGGCCGCGATGCCCATGCCGCGGTAGCGCTCCACGAACAAGTCCACGGCGTCCTTGAACACGCCCGGCCGCAGCAGCAGCGCCGTGATGTCGTTGAACATGATCCCTGCGCGCGCGGCACCAACGACCGGCCGACCAGACGAGAGCACGTCAGACAGGAACACAGGAGGGTTATGGTTAGTTAGTAGTAGTAATGGTTTCGCACGGGGATGGACGGACGGACCTGGCTTGGGGAAGTGCGGGACGACGCGGATGGCGTCGGAAATGCCCTGGAGCCGCGGGTCGGCGGCGCCCTTCTTGGCCGGCGCCTGCGCCTCCGCCACCTTGCCGCCGCCCTCGCTGCCGCTGGTGCCCTGCTCCCCCATGCCCGTGACGCCGACGCTCGATGCTTGCTTTGCTTTGCTTCGTCGTTTGATCTTCCTTCCTCTGAGTAGTGAGTAGTGGTGGCTA